GCCAGGTGGCATCCTTCCCTCTGATTGCTTTGATCTGAGTAATTTCCCTGTCCCCCTGCACTGGGGGCAGCCACGGGAAGGAACCATGGTGGATGGACCATTGCTTGTGCCAGTGGGAAGAGAAGACTTGAAACAGTTGTCAAAGTACAGGCAGCAAATCAAAGTGGGGATGGACGTGCCACCACTGCCCGTGCCCAGGGCAAGGGTGTGACAGCCACGGGTGTGGTGACACTGCTGTGGTGACACTCCCTGCAGCCACCAGAGACACCAGGCTGGGCTTTGGTCAGTGATTATTCTTTTGTATGTGTTACTGATGCTGAATCATTGTCATTTGGCTTCTGAAGAAATAGATTTTCTGATTATTCTTTCTTGTCCAGTTCTCAAAAGCACATCTCCAAAGAATATTTTGGGTCAGAGCATCTCTGTTACCAGCAATAGGGAGGTAAATCACTGCAGCCCCTGCTTGACATTCTGTGGAAGAAGCTGGGCTTCTGGGCCTTTATTTATTATTAATCAAACTATTGGCAGAATTTTTGTTACAAAAAAAAAAATAGGCTGGAGGATTAAAAGCTATCATTTCTTGTTCTTTATTCAATCAAGAAGGCAGGGAACAATTAAAGGGGATTTTTCTAAAACCTTTCTGAAGTTCACTGACAATAACCCAAATCAGAGCAGGGAGCAGGCATGGCAGTCAGGTGTTAGAATTATTTCTGTTCCTCTTTCTTGTAGATGTTGCAATTGTTAGTTGAATTAGCCTTCTATTGCTTTTTATTTTTATTTAGTGTTTATCCCATTTATTTCACGTTCAGAAAGCATTTCTGCTGAGCAGAAAACCTTCTTCCTGAAACCTTCTACTGTTCCCACTGTAACCATTCAGGAAGAGTAATTAAAGCCAACAACTTCCATTTCTTCAAACAACCTTAAAGAACGCCCCAGGTGAGACAGCAGTGACACACAAGTCTGGTTTAAGTACCTCAGATATGAGCCTCTGATCCTACTTTAATATTAGTCACATCTTAAAATGAAAGAGGAAATTGAAACAGGTTTTGTTTCCATAATTGTTTTTTAAAGCTAGCATATTAAATCTTGCTGAATTATTTAGTAGGAAGGATGACTCTGCACCTTTGATTTGTAAGTTGAATTTTTATACTTAGCTGCTTTTTCCTGGCAGGATTAAATGCCAGGTTCTCAGCTCTCTGTGGAATTAGTAAAATCCTGTGATAGATTCTGTAGGAAATTAAAACACAGTGGAGAGAAGACAATTGCTGGAAATGTTACAGGTTTGTTTTCACAGGATTCCTTGGTAGATGTTTTCATTATGCATTTTTCCAATTTTCACCAAAAATTTTCTCTTTCTACACTAACATCAGAAAAGGCTTGTGACACTGAAAAGGCTCCTGCTGGCCTGTGAAACTATTCTGATTTATACCTGCTGCAGCTATGCTGCAGGATTTGTTGTGCATGTGATGCTAAAGCAGGTTGCTGGGAAAATGCCATTTCCTGGTAAAGGATTTGCCACCTTGTGGTTGAATGAATTCAGTGGAGGAGCCCAGTGCTGGGGATGGATGGAACAGGAAGGTGCCTCTGCTAAACCTGCAGCAGTAATTTAGGTGGGAGCCACCTTGGGGCAGTGGGGCCTCTAATAGGGATATAGCCAGCAGAGGCTCAGTTGGATATTAGGAAAAATTTCTTTGCTGAGAGAGTGGTCAAGCATTGGAACAAGTTTCCCAGAGCAGTGGTGGAGTCACCATCCCTGAAAGTGTCCTAAAACTGAGTAGACATGGCACTTTGTGACATGGTTTAGTGGGCACAGGGATATTTGGACTTGGTGACATTGGAGGTCTTTTTCAATCTCAATGATTCTGTGATTTTCTTTAAATATCAAAACTATAATGGCAAGAAAAACCATGTCTCCCTTTACCAACTATACACAGAGCCTAGATGACTGACTAAGACTTACAGATTTATAAACTTCCAGAGATGGCTGAAATGTGGGTGATGAATACTGTCCTTTATGTCTGTGTTTTCCTCTAGAAACATAAAAGAAATGGAATAAAAAAGCAAGGAATAGTCTTTCTCTTCCTACATGATTCACTACTTATTCTTATGCATCAGAATTTCTGATTTTCAGGGCATTTTATGCTTAGCAAACTTGTTACATCTCAGCCCATCTCTATGCCTTAAGTTTCACTTTTTGGTCTGAGGCCTGAGGTGTTGTGTCAGGCAATATCTAAAGGTGGTCATTCTTCTGTCCTCCCCCTCCTTCATCCTGAGTGCATTCTCATCATGGAGTAGTTTTAGTAAGGAACCATGGGCTAAAAGTAAGTTTGGAAAGGTAAAAAAACAACCCAGTATATTTTAAGTTAAACTGAAAAAGTACAAATTCTGAGGGGTAGGGGAAACAGTTTGCCTATTTGCCCTTCACTATGGGGCTGGGGGGGGAATAAGAACAAAATTAATGGGGCAGCCCCATTCAGCTAAACTTGAATTTATTTGGGCACTTTCTGCTCTCAGAAAGAGCAAAGAGCAGTAGAGGAAATAATTATGATATTTTTCTTCTTACTGTGACTGGGTATGAGTTAATGCAGACTTCTAAGCTGACTTACTAATAACAGGCATTCCAAAGGGTCTGTGCATGTTTCCAATTTAGAGCTGTAAATTAGATTTTATCCTCAACTTGGCATCCATAAAAGACATTCATGGAATACACCTGCATAAAGATCCTTATTCATCTCTCTCATCCCAATTTAGGGTTGCTTTTAGGCACTGTAATAGAGTGCAGAACCAAACTTTACCTGTGAAATCCAGTGCCATGAAGAGGGTAGAGAATAATATTTTTTATTTATGACTATCTTCCAGCTTCAGAGTCTTTTGCCAATTTAACTGCAATTCCAAGAAATGAGGATGCTTTGATTATTTAATGTATCTTGTAGGAGTATCTTTGTTTAATCTTTTTAGGCTTTGATAGAGGGGATTGGATCCATGATACTAGAATACCTTTAAAATATGTCGTTTCTCAGTAGCTTCTCTACCACATCTGCTTTCTCCAGAGATGTTGCTATGAAAATTCTTACAGTTGTGGCCTTTGATGAGGCCAGCACCACCTTGCTCTACCTGCAGGAACCCCCACATATTCAAATGTCAGTCTGCAGCATCACGCTCCGTTTTCCCTGGCAGAGGAGCATCGTTGTCATACTGTGTGGCCACACTGATCTGACTGAAATCATTCTTGTAGTCTCTCCCTCTTCAAAGCAGTTATCCCAGTCCATCAGTGGGGCTGTTCTCACGCTGTGCCTGTTTCTGGTGTAGCTGTCTGCTCCTGGATGCTGTTGCAGGCTCGCTGCATCCCCGGGGCAGCGCGGCATCATCAGCTCATTACTCTGAGCTGTGCCCATCAGATACAATCCATCTTCAGAGAAAGGGTTTTTTGGCTCACGGGGGTGAATTTCCTGAGATCTGTGTGTGGGTTTCAGCCACATGGCTCCCACTGACTTTAATGGGAGTCACGCTGCTCGGAGCCCCTGCGCTCCCCTCGGGGTTACGCTCTCCCTGATGTGTGTGCACTGCTCCACGCATTAGCTTTGAGGGGGAGAGCACACTCCCTGCCCTGCCTCGGCAAGGAGAAACCAGCCCCCCACCTCCACCCTTGCCCCCACCCCTCTGGCCTTGTGTACTTATGGATAAGCAACAATGGAGACTCATTTCTATGGTAAGTTAGCAAGATTTATACTATAAATATTACATTACAAGGTTCCGACACGGTGCTATTTTCGAACATATCCACGCTTTGCTGCAGATCAGTATGTCACTGAAATGTTTCCTTTGAAGAACACGTTTTTGAAACACATCATAAAAATTTCTACCATTGAGATTCCTCCATTTCACCATCGTGGTGCGGGTCAAAATGTCTTTATTAAAATAGGATATTAGAAACTTATAAATTTGACTATTTCTTTCTCTTTTTTGGACAGGGTGAGGATTCTATAAGGGATTCAGAAAACAGGCAGCATGGCTTTAATTGAAGGAGACAGTGTTGTCAGTATATGTGTTCCTACAGTTATAAAGCCCAGCAGTATAGTATTCATCAAGTCTGATTCCACCTGACACTTGACTGAAAGCATTTTGCACTAATTTGCTTTGTGCTTGTCTAGTAAATCTAAAAAGAATGAGTGAAGGGGTGATAGGTGGCCATTAAACAGAATAAACAGCCCCTGGCAAGTGAATGAGTTTTACAGACTTGTTGCTTTTGGGAGGGGGAGGGTGAAGGGGAGAAGATTATAGGTCTTTGAATCAGCATGTGGCTGCCTCTATCACTCTGTAATCACAACTGTTTTCTTTGGCCCGGAGACCCATGTGCACCTCCAGAGAGGCTACCATGGTGAAGAAGGAAGCTCTGCCCCCAAACCTCTGCAGGAGAGCCCTCCAGACATATGATTCATATTCCAAGTGTGATAGAGGCCTAAATGGCAATTATTTTATCATATAAACACCAGTAAGATAGATTTCAGTCTGGAGCTGATTGCTTTCCTCAGATAATCCTTTTCAAATTTTCCCCTACATAAAATATAACAGCTTTAGGGTGTTTTCAGGTCCCTGCTTATGGTTCAACTTATGGTGAAAACCGTGGGCTTGTTGTCATCTTTGTCTGACTTTGCTGATAGCAGGCAGGAAATAGCTGTGTAAAGGCAGGAGGGGGTAAATAGCTGACTCTGTGGTCTGTAATTGGTTCATAGTTTTGGCTTGTGAAGAATAGAAAAGAAGGCAGAGGAGGGCTGGAAGACAGCCTAACAAGGAACACATGGGCATCTGAAAAACTAAACACAGCTGGACCAAGGAGTACATTTGACCGCCCGTTCCCTGCTCTCAGACTTCTGAGCATTGTTGTTGTTACTGGGGAATATATAGCACCGGATTTCGAGGGGGTGGATGGGAACTTCGCCGGGATAAAAGGCGAAATATCATGACTAACAAGAAATCAAAACAAAAACTTCCTTTCTCCATGTACTTATTTATTTAGTTGCTTGCTTGCTTTGGGGGGTTCTCTTATCTTGGCGACCTCACTGCTGCAGTTTTGCTGGAGGATGGTGCCTTCTGCAGAATGTCAGGTTTTCATTCCCCAAAAAAATGATGTTCAGGGGGATTATTTTTGCTTCCCCTTTTCCTTGTCATCCCCTGCCTTGTTGCCTTCAAAACACAAGTGTGGGTGGAAACTCCTGGACTGAGAGAGGACATAATGAGCCTGAAAAAGAGGATGGCATGATGAAAAACTCTACCTGTTTTAAGAGAGGAAGTTTTAATCCTCCCCCACCAACCTCCCCTCAGAAGGTCGGAAAAGGGATCACACCAACTCCAGGTCACTCACCAAACCCCAGCAGAGGCTCTCTGTGGGATTCACAGACCATTTCTGTATCTGGGATAAGTCAGCTTTGTTTTGGCTGCTTCTAGGACAGAGGAAAAGCTTTTCCTCTGTGTCCCTGAATTAAGGGCTCTCATTACTTGAACCTCATTAAAATAATCTCTCATCTGTACATGTGCCGTGAGGAAATGGCTGATTCCTCCCCATTCCTCTCCCCTGCTATCTGCAAAAACCTATTTTTCTTTCCTAAATTAAAAAAGATCTCGCTGCTGCTCGACTTGGCTGTTTACATTCTTTAAAGAAAAAAAAAAAAAGAAAAAAAAACCAGCCCTGAGCCCCCTGACTGCAGCAGAACTGCCATTAGCGTTGATTGTGTCCAGCAATGCACAGTCCACTTCAAGAAAGGCAACATCCTCTATTTTTTAAGCCAAATGTTGTGCACCGCAGCAAGAACAAACAAGAGTGACTTTCATCCTTCAAACACTGAAGCAGCTTTGCAAAGCCTGACATGAAAGGGCCTCCCTTGCTCTCTTGTCCATGTAGGCCTGGAAATGGAGCTGAAATGGCTAACAACATTGGTAATAATAGGGGCCTGCCTGGCATCAAGAGGTGAGCCGAAAGACTTCAAAAGCTGGCTCGAGCATGGCTGCAGGAGCATTTGCTCTGGGATTCAGGCTCCAACTTTTATTCTCTCCCTTTGAAGAGCTTACAATTGGGTGGAGGGTGGAAACCAAGCATTTTTGACATGAACTCTGCCATGGAAAATTATGAGAAAGACGGAGATGAAAAGGAATGTGTCCTGATTGTGCTGGCTATTTTTTTTTTATTTTATTTTTTTTTAAAAAGTCTGCAAAACAAGGGGCTTGCAGTACTATAATCATTGATCCTGAAAAGGTTCTTCAGAGATTAGTGCTATCAGTGCAATGTGAACCTCAAGGCTGAGAGGCAGAGTGGAGGAGAGAGACCCTTTTGCACTAAAATAACACAGGCTTTTAAAGGAATAGTGTATTACTCTGCTGGGGAAAGAAAAAAGAAAAAAAAAAAAAAAAAACACAACACCTGTTCTTGAAAACAAACAAACAAACCAGAAAATAAATGGCAGGCTTGGCTTACCTCCAAATTGTGCAACCACCTGAGGGTCCCAATTGTTTGAGTGTAGATCCCTCAGCACACTCAGACTCCTGTTTGTTTTGTAAACTCAGATCACTCTTCAGGACTCTGGTGTTGGTTTTTATGCCTATAAACAAGGAATAATTTCACTGAACCTGAAGAAGATATTGGGGATTTATTTTCGTACGAGCAGCTATGCAGATATCTATGGGATTATTTAATATTTAAACAAATTAATCTTGTTGTTTCGTCCTTTTTATTTTTGGCAAAGCTTCATTAGTATCAAATATGCAACAGGCAGGTGGGCAGCCTTGCAAAAGGTCACCTGTCATTTCCTATTGTAGTGCTCTTTCCTGTTGTGTCAACTCTGTTAATCTTTAATCATTGGGGCAATAGATAAAGAAAGGAGGTAAAGAAGCTGGAAGTCTGTACGAAAATAGGAGGAAAAGCAGGGAATAGAGAGAGTCACTCTCAGAGCCTGACCCTGGAGACCAGACCTGCAGTGAGACTTGGAGAGTAGGGTGGGAAACTGAGAAATAAAGAGCAGGCTGGAGTGGGAGAAAGATGGGCTGGAAGGAAGGAAAGCCAAGGGATGGGAACATCCATGATTTGGAAACCACCTACACCTGGTGGGCAAAGGAAGGGTGTCCTGCACTGATATATAGATGGAGAATAATGATGCAAACAGAGGAACATTGAAGAGCCTGCCCAGAGGCTGTTGAAATGAATGGAAAGAGTTTGTTGGACATTTGAGTCCTCAAAAGCTGAACAAACACTTCCCACCCACTAAGCCACCCCCAGATGTTGTCACTCCAAGCGTGTATCAATTTGACATTTTAAGATGAATATTCTGTATTCAGTGGCTCTCAGTCTGTACTTTTGGCACTTTCTAGTGGTCCTGAGCACTCCTTCTGAGCACAACTTGTTTTCCCTCTCTTCATTTTTATCCATGCCATAAGGGAGCTGTGTATACACAGTGCTCTTACCTATTTTTCTCTGAATGGGGAGTCGTGGAGTGCCTGCTGTACATGATTGCCTGTCAGGCACCAATTAGCAATCCATTCAGAGGCTCTGAAGCTGTGATCCACAGCCAGGAGAGAGTTTGAGAACACTTGTTTTGAATTATCCTGCACAAATCTCATGCCATAGATCTACAGCAAAAATGAGATCATATCCCCATGTCTTTTAAATATCAAGACATCCAGTTGTGCTTGTTTTTGAACAAACAGAAACAAACTTAGAGTGAAGCTTTTCTTGTGTAAAGCAGTTTCTTTGACATTATGTCTTATAAATTAATTTAATTCCATCTGAAATATGAATTGCTTTTATGTCTCAAAGGACAATGACATGGGTATTTCAGTTGTAAAAATGTGGGAGTTAAACTGTTGGCTGCTGAGTTCTTAAATGCATTACTGATGTGAGTCCTTCAGTTATTTTTTCCAACCTCTTTTCTCAAAGGCAGAGAGAAGCCTCTTAGCATTTCTAAAGCCCAACTTGTCAGTCTGTTGCTGAAGTTTATATGTTAAATCTTTGAATCAATACTGATAGTTCTTAGCTAACCAGTTCTCTAACTTTAGGGAGGGAACAGAAGAAGAAAACAAAGTCCCAGAACTACAGAGACAACAGGTAGAAAGTGAGGCTGCAGGGGGCTTCTGATGTATTCTGAAAGCTGAGTGCTTAAAGCAATCAAAGGTAGGGAAAATCTAAAATAATATCTTCAATAACAATCTTCTAATTTGCAAGGACAAGGAGAAGAGCAGCCCTTGGTTGTATTGCTAAATTTAAGAAATCTGCAAAGCACCAAAGCAAGAGGGAATCCAGCAGCAATTCCCAGGGCTCCCAGCTCACTCACTAGCTGACTTGATGAGCCTCTTTGATCTGGTATTGACATCATATCAGATCTCCTGCACTGTTTTGCCCACTTGCCAAAGCCAGCTTCCCAGAAGCGAAAATGTGCGTTCCTTTCCTTGGGGTAATTTGAAACATTGACATGAAACAGACCTCTCGCTCTTCCTCTGCTGTGGCCTGCCTTTTGAGTAGTTCCTTCATTAGTGTCTCCTTAAAAACACTTGGAGGTCAGTGCCAGGCTGGAATTGCAGTGTTCTTGTCTATTGTGAGTGATGCAATGATTGGGTATTAAGTGTATGAATAGCAAGAAGGGAAAAGACAGAATATATAAGTTGGTTTGGGAGCCTGGGATTCAGACATCCAGGGTTTTTCAGATATCTTGTATAATGAACACAGACTTCATTAACCATTTTTGGTTGCTCACAGATTGCTATACTACACAGAATGCTCACTGTTGTTTCAGTGATACATGAAATTTTCATGGTGAGAAAGAAATGATAAGTTCCCAGTACAACGTAACACGTGGAAAGAAGCCAATGAAAAAAACAAGGTTCCTCTTCTCTCTTCAAAGGAATTTTTGACACTGGAAATAAAAGTATAATCTATGTTAATGGCGAGCTCAAGTACCATGTCTACACGAATGTCAAGACAACATGGGAAATATGCTGCTCTCCTCCCAGCTAGCATTCCAGATCTACTTGTTAAAGAGCATCTCAGGCCCTCTTATGTTCCCTAGACTGTAATCTTGACCCTGCTTTTACTTGATTCAGAAGTATTAGGCATATTTTGATCCCAAATTTCCTCCTCTCTCCCTCTCCCATCATTACTGGCTGCCAGAGCTTTTTCATGGGGATACTGGACAGCAAACTCATGTGTATTATGAGTGCCCAAAACTGTGCACAGAGAGACATCTGTTTTGGGGAGGAAGTGCAGCAATTGTGGGTACCTCAGGAGCTTGGAGGCTGTGACTGATTTTCTTTTATTACCCTCTCTCCCTTTTGGACATCAGTGGACCAAGATTCTTCTCCTTAGTTGGTGTATGTTTCTCTCTCATTTAATCAGCACTACTGGGGAGGAAATATGGCTGGAAAAGCAGTGCTTTAAAAAGTTACAGTGGCAAAACTTCCCTTAACCAAATGGCTAGTCATTAATCTTAAATACAAGTATCAGGAGGAAAAAGATCTTTGTTGGGGGTCAGGAGTAAAGGCATCCAGGTTGTTTGTGAAATATTAAAAGCTAGAGTTCACTGAGCATCTGTCTTGTGCATTTTAATTGTATCTCCATGAACCTGAACTCTGTGGCCCCCAGCGAGCCCTGCTCAGTTGTGCTGGCTCACAAAGTTCAGGGCTGGGTTGTAAGTCGTTTTTATTTAGCACCTAGTGACAGCAAGTACTGTAGGTGGAGAAACATTAAGTGCCACTTAAATCTGTTCCTGTACATCTTATTAGGATTATACTGGAGTGATACTCTGGCTCTGAATTCACTGAGAGTCATTAAAGAGTCCCCCTTGGCCTTTTCTAACACATACCTGACTGTGCCTCTGCAGAACCCTCAGCTCCCATCCAGCACTCCACAGGACTGCTCAAATCCAAAATCAACACACCACAAAGTCAACGCTACCAACTATTGATTGGGAAAACCTCAGTGTTCTTGGGTGTGCCAAGACAGAAATCAAGGGTGACGCTGCTTTGGAACCAGATTTAGTCAAAATGTGCTCTCAGAAAACACATGTGACTTCAGCAGTCGTTTTTGGACACATTTTCTAAGTGCTGAAGGTGCTGGGGCTGGGATGTGAGTACAAGTTCATCCATCAGGACTCACTTCCTTTTCAAAGGAAGGAAAATTTTTGAATGAGCTTTTATTTTGGCCGCCCTGGGAAATTTGTCCAAAACATTAGGAAGCAGAATAAAACACCAAAGGTGGGTTTTTCTTGGGTGAGCCTGTCCCTAGAGAGAAAGCAATCACTTTGATCTGAGCACTTGCCCAAGCTGCTGAAGTCCATTTGAGCTGGCTGAGAGAGGCTTGGTGCACTGTTAATGCAGTGAAATGTAGCACAAGTATTTGTTATTGCAGCCAGTATCAAAGGAGGCAGGACGACTTTGCCACTTACTATAAAGTGTTTCCATGAAAATGGAAATGAATGCTACAGGGGTCTGTTCCCTCTGAATGCACAGGGGAGCGAGGCGCTGAAGGGTTGCTTTCATTATACCATTAACAGGGCAAGTTACTTACTTGCTTTTTTCCTCCATCCCTCTTCAAAAGCACAGGGGCTTGAGGCTGATTCTTTGGGTCAGCCAGGCAGTGCTGTGTGTTCCCTGCCAGCCAGGGCAGTAAATCCCACTGTTGTTCCCAGATGGGCCCAGCAGAAATCCATCCCTTGTCGTCATTCCAGCTGCACTTTCTCCGCAGGGAGACGGCAGTCACCCGTTTGGCGAGGAGGGGCAGGCTGTAATGTCTAGCCAGAAACATCCACCATAAACCATCGCTTCCTGTTATGACACTCATGTGTCTAAACTTATTGATTTATTTGGGTGGAACTGTCTAACCTGCTCGAGGAAGAGTGGACTCAGCAGGTACTAAGTCATGTAACAATAGGAAGCATCAAAATACAGCCCGCAGTGTTAGATCTGGGAATGAATCTCAGATTTATTCTTTAAAAGCTATCCCACTCGCTTTCCAGAAATATATTTTTCTGTTTCCAATTTTTTCCTCCATTTAAAAAAATTATTAGTAGCATTCATATCATCTGGCCACAGCTTTCTCATTGTTGTATTTCCCTGATTTGCAACACAGAAATTTTAGAAATTGCAAATCTGGAACTTGGCCCACCAAGGATAAAAGGGAGAGTATTCTGTTTTGATTTATACATCTGTCTTGATTAGGGAATTCTTTCTTTGTCTGGAAGCAATGTGATCTGGTTGTTAGAAAAGTGAAGATAGACCTTGGGGACACTTCAGTTCTCTCCTGGCCCTGTCACTCAGTCAGATTCTTTACACCTAAATCCACCCTTTGAGTTTATTAGTGGGTATAAGAACACCTATCCAGCTTTCCCGTGTGCTGTGAAACTTAATTTATATTTCTGAAGCTTTTTCAATTTGTCACACCAGAGAGCTTGTATAAAGCATGTAACTACTGATTTTTTTAAGGTGTAAGATAGTTTTCCCTCCTGTGAACATTTATTTAGGTTGATCACATTTGGTGTACACAGTTTTTCTAGAAAATATTGAGTTTAAGAATTTTCTGTGAGTCACGTCTTTATACCTGAAAATAATAATATCT